GGGTGCGCCGGCGGGCAGGCAGCCACGCGGGCGTGTGGGCAGTCAAGCGGGCGCTCGGGCAGCAACGTGGGCAGGGAGCGGGCTCGTCCGTGAGTAGCAGGCAGGGGCGGGGAGGTCCGCGCAGGCGTTCAAACGGGTCAACCGGCAACCCGTCGAGTCAACCCGAACCCAATCGATTTTTCAAACGGGTCGAATCTTGGAACACGAACCCGACCCGTTTCCAAAACGGGTCGAGTCTAACCCTAAAATTTCAGATCGGGTTCGAGTCTGTTTTCAGATCGTGTCAAATATTAACACCCCTAATAAAGGATAACAATTTGGCTTTCCAATCTTCCAACAAAGAGGAAACTTAATGATACTATCATTGTTTCAAACTTTCAAATTGCGACGAAATTCATATTTCCAAACTATGGTGATCAAATCTAGGGTTGAGTCAAAATAAAGAGACATGAATCATTTTATATGAAATTATGTGAGTTAAAATCTCTAAGGGTAAATTAATTTTCCTAAATAATGATTGATGATTTTAGGGTATGATATTGTACTTCTTTTATTACTAGTAATCATGTATTCATTAAAAAAATCAAATAATTAAAAATGATTGTAATTTCATTCAAAATGAAGTTTAAATATACAAAGAGATTTAATTAGAAATTATTATTAAATTATAAATAATGATATATATATATATAAATAAAAAATAATTTATGATAAATCATAGTATGTTAAATAGCTCATCTTGATCTTCTGATTTGTGAGCTTTATTTTTTATTTTTTTGGGAATGAGGTATCCACCCGCTGTCACAGCAGAAGGGGATCGAGCTTGGTGGCGTGACTAACCTTTGACTGACTTAGATGAGGCACCCACCCCAGAAATATCATGGGCCACACTTGATTGGACCCCACTTAAAAGACGCTGCCGCTCGAGGGGAATCTAGCACGAGTTTGAGGGTTCTCAATTGTACTTACACACCAACCAAGCTAAACAGTGGTTAGAGCTTTAATTAGTAATGAAAAGATCTTGAGTTTGACTCATAATTGTTTGTATAGATTTATCTTAATTCATGCAAATGTAAAAAAAAAAAAACATGGTACGTTAAAGCAATTAAAATGAAAAAGACAGATCACTATAGTTCAGAACATGATTTGCCAAAATCTTTAGAATATTTTCATCAGAGAGCACAGTTCAGTTCAGTTTACAGAGGCAATAGCAGCAGCATATCAATGGAGTCTTCAAACGTCGGGGAGAATGGATTTGCTGTAACCACTCTTATCATCATAGTACTTAGGGCATCTCCAACCGAACGCTAAACGACTGTATGGAGTTGTTCCCTCGCTCCAACCGAACTCCAAAATTTTCGCCATTTAATCGCAGGTGAACAGTGCGACGCCAATATTGGCGTCGCACTGTTCACTCACGCCATTTTTTCTCTCAACCCGAAAAACGCACGAAAGGAGAGCGATCGTTACCTTCTCAAAAACACCTAAAATGG